TATCACTCTCGGCTAAAATACAATTAAAAATACCGAAAATTAGCAGAAAACCTAAGTCAATACAGTTAGTGCATGAAATTCATTCATTTTATTCGCGTATTATTTTTCCATTTATTTTCATTATTTTATCATACGTTTCAGTAAAAACAAACTTCGGCCCCTCGGCAACACTGAAGTTTACGAGGTCGTTTGCGCATCAAATTTGCCTTGTAAATTTAGGAGGGGCTCGTAAATATAGGTCCATACAAATTTTGACAGTCTTTTACGAGGCTCGTAAAATTACGAGGATTACGAGGCTTTTACGAGTTTAAGGGAAGACCCCTACCCTATTTGTCTATAATAACTCCAGTTGAAGTGTTTTCAAATGATGATGTTGCTTTTAGTTTCATCATTGCCGCTTTTGGTTGAAGAAAACCGAAAAGATGCTGTTAATGTCATCAGTTAAATAAAAACTTCCTTTAAAAACAGTTTTAATTTTTAATAAGATAACTAATATATTAACTATAGTTTTTATACAAATATCTAAAAAAAAAGTAATTGGTGGATATTTTCACGATTTAGCAGCCTTTTTCATGTAGATGTAAAGTATTTTTCTTCGGCAGTGGCAACCCTGGATACGATACCATATCGATATTTTTACCATTCGATGCCGATACCTTTTTTCAAACGATACAAAAATGATTTAAAAACTTCTGAGAAATGTGTTTAGAGAAGAAGTGTGGGTATCAAATTAAAGAGAAAATCCTGTAGAATTCAAACATTTAAATTTTTGGCGCAAAAGGACTGTAAAATATTAAGTGTCCTTTTAAAATGTCATCCTAAAGTTTCGCAATATTGGTTTTTGAAAAAAATTGTAAGTCAAGGACTTATACAACCCCGATAAGATCCTCGAATTTCGTCCTTCTAACTTTAACAGCTTAAAAAATTACCTATTCGTCCTTGTGAATCCAAAAAATTTTAATTTTTTTTATTTTTAAAGCAATTTCCACTTGCATTTGGTTCCCATATTTTTATTCTACATTGCATTGAATTTTAAAAATAATCTTTGGAATTAATCATATCTTTGAAATTACAAAGTCCTTTAAAATAAATCCTGACGCCAGAGAAAAAAATAAAAACGCCACTTTAAATAAAAAGGTAAGTATTAAACCCATTTATTCATTATTTATTTTATGGCAGGAGAGCTTCTCAAACAATATAGAAGCAATTTTTTCGATTTAAGTTGTTGAAAAGTAATGAATATCTAAATCCCGGGAGCCCGGGACTGTGAAACCAATATCCCGAAAATGCGGTGATAGAAAAAAGCTGAAAAATTAACATCCCTAGTTCAAGTAAATAATAAAAATCTCTACTACTGAGTATTTTTATCGCGCGTTATCTAAATTTTAGGATTCCAGTACCTTTTGTTGGGAAACGAATTTAGCTTTTATAAAAAAAAAACACCAAAGTTTTCACCATTATTTAATATTTACATCTATATAAGTACAAATGACTACAAAAAAATCATGCGACTAAATCTCTAATATGTATTCTTCCATGGCCATAAAAAAGATGGCCCTTTCAATATTCCGCAAGAAAGTGCCAGTTCTATGAAGTGTGATACCAAAGCTTTAAATATTTTCCAAATCGTACTGCTAGATGTCCCTAAATAATTTACTCGGATTTGGCATGTTCCTCGTTGGTACGCTCCCCTTTATGTTCTTGCTTTTCATTCTGGACTCGTTGCAATAGTTGTGCTCTCTTTAGCTTAACCATTAACTGAAAGGAGTTGTACATCCAAGTGCCCTAGGAAAGTTCCAAATCGATTAGCAGTTATAGTTTGTTGAGAATACTTTATCCTTTTTCCTCACAATTATAAGCATACAATTCAGCAAAATCGGCATTGAAAAGACTGTCGATATAAAAAGTCCATTGCTATCAAAGTACTGCTGTTTGGAGAAACTTTGCCATCTCGCCGCCGCATACTCATTTATGTTCTCTGTGCAGTAGGCTGCTGATACTACAAGTGGAAAAGAAATTGAAGAGTCTAACCGTGAAAAGCGCAAAGCGGTTGCGAAAACAATTACAGAGTATTAAGAATAGAACTACTTGGAAATTGCTGCTATTCCTTGTCATCAAAGTGGTCACCGTAATCAATACATGTAATAGCATCAGACCAATCAGCCACGGATCCTTCCAATCAATCTGTTAATACAAAACAATGCCGAAAGTAAAACATTGTGAATAAACTACATACATAGATTTACTTAAATTTGCTTACGCTTGCCAAATATGTCCAGTATCCTGTGATTTCATTAACTTCAATAAAATTAGGATCTACCATAATTATTATTTTTTTATTTAAAAGCTAATCAACAAATCCTGATATTCACGAGGGTTGAATGAAAAATGTAAATAAATGCGAGGGCTGTCAAATTGATTCTTGCCAGATGTGAAGAAAAAGAAAATGGGCTATTTTTTCTGGAATAAAGGGGAAATACACCATACAAGCGGCTTGACAAACTTACTTCGAACCTTCTTTCATCATTCCACCATACACCATGCAGACATGACTCGTTCAAACAAATAATTTTATAGCCCTCGGTTCACAATGTTAAAAAGTTTGGTTTTCGATAAAAATTCCGTTGCAAATGAGCAAATTTACCATACACACGCAAGCGGTTTGACCAAATGCCAACAAGGCGGTCAGAAAAAAATAAAAATTTAATTTTTGTTCTAATTGCCCCCAATTGGCTTGTCAAACCTTTAAACACCCTCATACTTAAAGGTCAATATTCAGCTCTTAAGAAAAACA